CACACACACACACACACACACACACACACACACACACACACACACACCCACAAAGACATTGATGTGACGCAGCAACATTTCTATTCTGCCTTCTAGGACCAGACCTCTTTTGAAATAGGAAGGGGGTGTAACCGCATGACTATCACAATAGTTTATCTCAGAGATAGCGTGCATAATCAGTAGCTGTCGGTGTCGTATTTCACCACTCGTCCCACCCGTCCTGTGAAGAAGTGAAAGATGATGCACGCTCAAGTGTAGATGCCAGGATGTTAAGTCTTATAAGGGAAGCCATTAAGGACTGTTGTTTACTGTGGAATATGAATCGGTCACCTCACTATCTGTCTACCTCTACCAGCAGAAAGACTAAATGCGTTTGCGCCATGCCCTGAATTTAATTGGATTGATCTGTCCAAATGAGTTTTTTACGTCTAATGGAGCATGGACTAGCTTCTAATTGAACTGCAAACGGTTGGTTCTTCTCAAGCTGTGCAAGTCCGTGTTGCCCAGAACTATATCATTTTGAAAGTGATGTGAATCCTGCATGATGAGAGGTCCTTTTTAAATTACTCCTGATCTTGGTGTCCTCCTTATTGTTACTGCAGGAGAATGTGTTGATCCGCTGGTCTCCAGCCTCTACGCCTCTTCCTTCCTGGCCTCCTCCAGATATAACTTTCTTTACTCTGCCAACTTTGCCAAATTGTATGGTAAGTTCCTAGTTGTAGTGTCTTTGAGTTCATCCATGATTTCACACCATTCACCTTATACAGACCTTTCTAATGGCAGATGGTTTAACTTATCACTGCAGGACATGCACAGGTGTACAGTAACTAATAATATGAATAACTCCGGTCCTGTTAGTACAGTAATGTTATAAGTTAAACTTGTGTTTTACAAGTCAAAATGCTCATCGTGAGAATCTTCACAGTGACAGATATAGTGCAATATGTGTTTGGGACTCCTAGAACTCATTGGGGATCTGTCACTCTCTCTCTCTATATACTTTCACTTTAGCACAGAAAAAAAGACCTCAGATGACATAATCTATCAACTGAAGGAACACTTATAGTGACTGTGGGAATTTATTTGGGATATTTGCTTGTTAGCTGGCTTTCAGATGGAGGCCTAGAGTATAGTTGAGAGTTATATTGGGTAATCTGCCAAATACTAAAGGCTTGTCCAATCCCAGACAAAACAGTAGATGGGCTTTACTCATTAGAGTCCCCCCACACACATTAAACAGGACCTTAAAACGGCTGCCATGAGTTACAAATTCAGTTGAAGTCACAATTGCTTCGGTCATCATATATCTGTCCCCCCCCCCATCTCCAGTCAAACTCTCCTTTTTCTCCCCCCTCAGGCAGCAGTGGCTGGTCCCCATCGCCAAGGGACAGACAGCCGTGGCTGCAGGTCGACCTGGGCAGGAAGTATCGACTGGTGGCCATCGCCACCCAGGGGACCTTCAACTCCTATGACTGGATCACCAAGTACACCCTGCTCTATGGAGACCGACCGGACTCCTGGACGCCGTACATCATGGATGGAGGCAACTCTGTAGGTGTCACTGAGCCAGCATGGCTGGGGGCGGGATGAGGGCCATAACGGGGATGAGGCGAGGATTAACTAGTCAAATGTAATCTTTACAGCCGATGATTCAGTGGGTGTTCTATTCAATTCATTGTCACTGGCACTGAAACAAAGACAGCGCAGCATATTATCTCTCTCAACACTGACGAAGCTAATCTCATCATCAGTTCATCACCAGTCCCTTGATAAGGCGCTAACACCGTTGCATTGACTCAATAACTGCCGCTCTCATCTGTTTGCAGACACTGCCTGCGAACTGGAATTATTATCAGTTGAAGAGGAATGTCTTCCATTACGCCTTTACCGCTAAACACATCCGTCTGCTGCCTCTGGCGTGGAACACGGAGAATGGAGGGAAGATCGGCGTGAGGCTGGAGCTGTATGGCTGCTCTTATGGTAAAAAATGACGGATGGACGCTACCCAGGGATTTACAGTCATCTGATTCAATTCCAGGGACTTTCTACAATCCCACTGTTTAATCGTATTTAATAATATGCCACTAAATCTGAGCGCCAAATATGCTACAATATGTTCCGAGTTAATAAATGACTAAGCTGAGTATCACCTGATTCATACTCAGAAACATCATACACGAGCTAGATGCAAACAGATCTGATGAGCTCCAGGAAATGTGCCATGAAGCATTTACTCCAATAATCCTTAAAACCTAAAATGCTACATAAGACTTTAACCCAATATGTACGTCACATCCTCTGTTGTGAATTTTGAACTATTGAATCCATTTGGAAATTTTGTCTGCAGATTCCTATGTTCTACAGTACAACGGGGACGACTCAGTGGTCTACATGTACCCAGAAAAGAGGTCCCGTACACTGCACGACCACATCGCCATAAATTTCAAGACTCTGGAGCAGGATGGTCTGCTATTACACAGTGAGGGGATTCAAGGAGACCTCTTCACCTTGGAGCTGAAGAGAGGCCGTCTTTACCTGCACATCAGCCTAGGTATAGAGCCTGCGTTGTTTGATGGAGTTACGGGTGAAGAAAATAGTGGCATGTGAGACAATGACATCCATCTCCAGCTCTCAATCATCATCTCAATACTGAAATGGAGCCACGTTGTCTGCGGGAGAAAACTCAATATATTGACTGTTAGATCTTTGACCGGAGCTCTACATTTCAGCATTGTCTCTCAGTTTGAGCTGATTTAGAGGAATTATTGTTGTAATTTTTACCTCCCACTGTCCTCGCCTTCTTTTTTTTTTTTTAGGAAGTAGTGTAATACACAAACTTGATGGTCGTACTACACTGACTGCTGGCAGCCTTCTTGATAATCTGCACTGGCACTATGTCACCATCAAGCGCTCCGGTCGACAGGTGAACTTCACAGTGGACAGTCACACAGTCACGGCCATCTGCACAGGAGAGTTTACACACCTGGATCTGGACACGCAGGTACCTCATATAAGGATCACATCTATGTGTATAGTTACAGTGTAAAATGTAAAGGCCATGATAAGTGAAGGAAATGATGAATGAGCCGTATGCTGAATACATTTGCTTAATGTCTCTTTGGAGGATACTTCCAAAAGCATTTTTCTTACAAGTTGAAAGCAAATAGTTTTATTCAAATATACATTTTTGCATTTAATTATACTGTGCATACATTTACACTTGTTAATGATGATGTTGATGAGTGCCCTAATGCCTTTATCCTAGTTATATGTAGGAGGTGTCATAGAGCAAAATTTGCCTCACCTGCCCACTACACAAAATTTCCGGGGCTGCCTGGAGAATGTCTTCATCAATGATGTCAACATCATCAACAAGGCTAAGAGAGAAGAACCTGAAATCCGCATCCCACGAAAGGTAGGGCTTCAAACCATCATACAGCATCCCAGTAATGTCGCTGGTTCCGAGGATCTCCATGAATTATAGCCAAACGGCATTACTTCATCTGTTCCATGCGAACAAAACAATAACAATATCAGAGAAAATATTTTCATTGTAACTCGTATTTCTCTTTTTTTTACCCTCAGAAAAAGATGCATTACGCCTGCAGGGACATTCTGCTCAAACCGATGACTTTTGCCGGGCCCAACAACTACCTGCAGGTGCCGGGCTTCTTCAGGAGGCCTCGCATGTTTGTCAAGTTTAAGTTCCGCTCGTGGGACTACACGGGGCTGCTTATGTTCACGCGATTTGCTGATGACCTGGGTGCCCTTGAGCTGGGACTGAGCGAGGGACAGATCAACGTCACTATATTCCAGCCTGGGAAGAAGAAACTCCAGTTTGCTGCCGGTGGGTTAATAATGCAGTTTTTGGCCTTGACCGGTATGACAGTAAAGATAACAGTTAAGGATTTTGGAGCATACGATTTTTAATGCCTCATTCTTTTGGCAGGTTTCTCAAACCCCGCCCCTAAGTTACTGTTACTATGTCAGGTAGATAAAAGCTCACTTCTCCGAGGTAGCCAACAGCTGTGGATTTTGTCTGCTGAAATGACAACTGTCGCTGACAGATTCTATCAGCTGTGGTTAGCTAGCTAAGCTAATGCTAACTCTAAAACTCTAAAACAGTTTCCAGCTGACTTTTTAAGGTTCCCAGCTGATTTAATGACCCTATAAAAAAGGGTCGTAAACATGTGCTAGAACACTACATACATGATATTGTGCTAAAAGACAGAAGTTTAATGTTTCGGCCACGCTAACGTCTGCAGCTTATGTTATAGAAGATTAAAAACACACTACAATTTTGCTTGTGTCTTTGGTTTTGCATAAGTTAAAAAAAGACACCTACCTACAAACTCATTAGATACCCAAAATAGCTAGAGTGTAACCTGCTATGCCTGGTTTACGGTTGTTAAACTGTGATTGGACAATCCCTGTCTGGGGGCGTGGTTTAACTAACACTTATGAATGTATATAGTGCTGCAAGGTGCAGGCAATGATAAATACTGCATTAGATCTCTGTACTGAATCTGATTGTAGAAACAAAGCATGACAGACATTTCTCCAATTTCTAGGCTACCGGCTAAATGATGGTTACTGGCACACGGTGGATTTAGCAGCCAGAGACAACCTGATGACCCTCACAATTGATGAGGAGGAGGGCTCTCCACTTAAGATTACCAATCCATTCACAATTCGGACAGGAGACCGCTACTTTTTCGGAGGTGAGGGGATGACTTGTTCACAACTCCTGAAATCAACTTTGAAATCTACACGGTCCAAAACATACGTTTGCTTTCCTGCACTTAGGTTGTCCGAAAACCAATAACACAATACGGAAGTGTGAGACCAAGCTGAACCGCTTCCATGGTTGCATGCAGCATATCTTCATAGACAATGAACAGCTTGATATTGACATTATTCTGCAACGACAGTGGGGGCGCTATGCTGAGTTGTTGTTGGGCACTTGTGGCATCACTGACAGGTAAGAAACATAAAACATACAGCACTAATATGACTGATAGTTTCATTAATAGCAGGACAATTGCACAAGGAAACAGATAAATATGGCGCTGCAATAATGTCTTCTCATGTCATTTAAGTTGTAGCTACCAATTATATACCCCTGTCATACCATACTCTTTTAAAATGACACACATTCCTATAACATGTCATTATTTCTACATGGCCTTGGCTCTTTTATGGTGTTGTCAATGTAATGTGATCTCCTTCAAGATGTTTGTGAAGCATTTGGCATTGAATTGTGAGTCTCAAGAGTGAGAAATAACTTCTTTAGAACTAATGGCATTCATCCCCTCATCAAACCTTATCTAAAAGGTTCTAAACAAAAAGCAGCTAACAGAGAAAATAGATGAAAGAGAGCAAATTACACACTTAATGCAAGTCTCCCCTTTTTGTAACATCCAAATGCTCAGTATTGGCATGTCATTTGTTCACAGATGTAGTCCAAATCCATGTGAACATGAAGGCAGATGCATCCAGTCCTGGGATGACTTTATATGTCTGTGTGAGAACACAGGCTACAAAGGAGAGGTGTGTCACATGTGTAAGTGCTGGCTGGCAATATTTTCACTTTAATAACTATTTCTTTGCAGTCGATTACAACTTGGCCCATACCGTATTTCTTCCTAATAATAACAAATCGATCATCTCGCTTCTTGAACAGCGGTTTACAAAGAGTCATGCGAGGCCTACAGACTCAGCGGCAAGTATTGGTCTGGAAATTACACCATCGATCCTGACCTTAGCGGGCCGCTGAAACCATTTGAAGTGTACTGCAAAATTAAGTGTAAGTAATCACTGTCACTAATAAAATACAGCTTTTATCAGCACTGTGTGCTCAGTGTTTGCTGGATCCTCAACGGATTTGTTAATGAAAAGCTTGAGAGTCAGGTTATCATGTTCCTGTAATGAGAAGTGTTTGCTGAAATTCCATGAGGAAATTAAAAGACGTTATAAAACAAGATGTGTCTGCATTTCCTATTTCTTACCTTTCCGTTTGTGTTTTATTCTTTTCCTTTAAAACATTAATATTGCCTCCATCTTTCTGTTTCAACATTTAATCACCATGCAGTATATTTGTTGTGCCTCTTCACAGCATATAAAGCTTGGACAGTGATTCTGAATGACCGTGTGGATGGTACCAAGGTGTCTGGGAGCTCAATAGACCGGCCGTATATAGGAGATGTCAACTACTGGAACGCCACCTGGGATGAAGTCACTGCCCTAGCCAACACCTCTGTGTACTGCGAGCAGTGGATCGACTACTCCTGCTACAAGTCCCGTCTCCTCAACACCCCGAGTAAGTCAGCTTATTAATTTGGTAGTGTGCTTATGGAAAACAAGAAATATAGTAAACTAACACACCATTTCTTTTTCAAAATAGACGGAAGACCTTTTGGTTACTGGATCGGTCGTAACAATGAGAGTCACTATTACTGGGGTGGAACATTCAGAGAGGTCCAAAAGTGTGGCTGCGCTATCAACCAAACCTGCACCGACCCCAAGTTTCAATGCAACTGCGATGCCGACTATAGACAATGGTAAGAGAGGGGACGCACTGTGCAGGTTTAGCTTGTATCTGTGACACTGACGATGAAGTCTTAACCTCCCCACTGTGGCTTTTTCAGGTACTCAGATAAGGGCTACTTGGACTTCAGAGACCATCTGCCCGTTAGGAAGGTGGTAGTCGGGGACACCAACAGGACCGGCTCAGAAGCACAATACACCGTCGGACCCCTCCGCTGCCATGGCGACAGTGAGCTTAAATATTAAGGGTTGTGTTGACACGGTGATGCTCTGCTTTGTTGAAACAGTTTTTTTTATTTATACATGTATGGTAAACGTATTTCAATGTTTTCCAAAGGAAACATCTGGAACACAATCGCCTTCACCAAGCCCACCTACATAACCTTCCCGACCTTCAGGCCCGGCTCCAGCGCCGACATCTCCTTCCACTTCAAAACCTATCGTGACCACGGCGTGTTCTTGGAGAATTCTGATGACCAACTGCGAAACTTCATTCGGGTAGAGCTGAACTGTGAGTTGACTCATCTGCTACCAGAGAGCTATTCTCCTCATACATCTGATGTATTTAACAACAACCTTTCCATGTCTTCTTTTCTCTTCCAGCCACCCATAACCTTATGATGGTATTCATGGTTGGTGACGGCATCGTTAATGTGACACTACACTCCCCCGTGGCACTCAATGACAACGAGTGGCACTTTGTTCAAGCCGAGATTAATGTGAAGCTAGCCCGCATCAAGGTTGATTATCAGCCGTGGGCCGTCACACGTTTTCCAGGTCAGACTTTTGTCACCATGCGGTTTACGCATCCTGTCCTAGTAGGTAGGTTGGCTGAGGTGAACTTGGATATTTGTCATGACGTACGTACAGTGGACTTATTGTATCCTCTCTAAACTTTTAATAAAGATGAATAACCACTGATAAAAGTATTTTTTGTAATAGGTGCAGCCAACCGCACCCTGAGACCATTCTTGGGGTGTCTCCGAGGATTGCGGATGAACGGTGTTCCTCTTGATCTTGAGGGGAAAGTAAATGAAGAACAGGGTATAAGGAGGAACTGTACGGGACAGTGTCTGAATGCTACCATACCATGCCGAAACAGCGGCCAGTGTATAGAAGGCTACGCTTGCTACACTTGCGACTGTAACAACACAGCTTTTGATGGCTTCTACTGTCATAAAGGTGAGTTCATGCATGTTTCTGACAAATACCTTCACATAGTAACTGACAACATCGGCAGCAATACTTTGCAACTGACATCTAATTTCACAATGATCTTTTGTCAAGACATCGGAGCCTTCTTTGAGATCGGCTCGTGGCTGAGATACAACATACGAAAGAAGCCTATATCAGACGAGGCAGCATGGGCCAACTGGATCGACCCGCATTATGACAACTTTAGCCTCGGCTACAATGACACAGCAGATGACATTGAGTTCAGTTTCAGCACCGTTTCTACACCAGCCGTGTTGCTCTACATCAGCTCCTTCGTGCAAGACTACATTGCCATCATCCTGAAGACTGACGGTAGGGGGAAGCTCAGAAACAATCTGAGAAAGTGAAAGCTGCAGGTTCATTTTATTCACAGATTACGGAGTAATACTCCCTCAAAACTACTGCAGAGGTTGATGTGAAGCAGTTACTTGTGAAAAAAACAGTATTTATGTCTTTTGTTTCCTCTCTCTCTATAGGTAGTGTAGATCTGAGGTATAAGCTGGGGCTCATAACACACAAGTACCAGCTGACTCACCGAAACCTGGCAGACGGATACCCCCACTACGTCAACATAACCAGACACAACAGAACCATCAAAACACAGGTTTATGCTGATCTGTGGTTTGTTCTTTTCAGTGAAGTAATAGACTGTTGTCCACTCACCTTAGCTTAGCTTAGCATAAAGACTGCAAACAGCTAGCCTTGCTCATAAAGGTAATAAACTCTGTCTTATTTTGCCCTGCCCACAGGTGGACTACATGGAGCCCATAGTGGAAAAGATAACCTTAGTGGAGGACGCCAGGTTTGACTCTCCAAAGTCCATGTTCTTGGGCAGAGTGATGGGTAAATATCCAATTTACCAATTATTGATGAGAACACGTGGGCTAATGTTTTCATCTTGCTGCCAGTATTATTATTATTATCATTATTTTAAGTTGGAACTCTGTTGATGTTTAATTGTTTCCACTCTTTCAGAGGTTGGCGACATTGACTATGAGATCCAGAGGCATAATGCTCCAGGCTTCATAGGCTGCATATCTGGTGTGAGATACAATGTCTACGCCCCGTTAAAGGCCTTCTTCCGTCCAAATGAAACCGACCCTCCGGTAACGACACAAGGCTACGTATCTGAGTCCAACTGTGGCGCCTTCCCTCCTATCCTGGGTTATGTACCATGGGAGGTAGACCCCTGGTTTACCACCATAGGTGGGTTTATATGTCCCATAATGCACCTGTACAAAAAGGGAATATTATTCTGTGTTCATCCACTTATTTGTGCACCTCTCCCTTTCAGAGTATTTTTATATCCACGATGACCTTGGCCTGTTTTGGATAACAGGTAAGATCTGCTTCTTTATAGAATTGGTTGTTTTGCTCACTATTTCCCTCCTCTCCCAGAAAACACAAATCAGCTGTTTGAATTTCTCTTTCCCTTTTCCCTAAAATCCTATTATCCTAAATTAGAGCAGGTTTGTCAAATTCCAATGTGGACTTTTGAATGTTTATTTAAGTGTCTGACTGCTATTGAGATAGCAAATGTAATACATTCAAATGTATTACATTTGAGATAGCAGTCACAAAAATGAACAAATGAACAGTCAGACATTTCTAATGCATTATTATCACACCGAAGAATCTTTTTGATTTGATCTTTTATTTGGTTGAGGTCAGATTATCTTTTTAATCTATATGAAGGAAATGAATTCAAGTAAAATAGACCTATATGTCCTTGCAAGAGAAAAAAACTAACCCTGGGCCTATATCTATGGATTTCTGGGGGGGGGTGGGGAAATCTAAATTTAATATACTTATTCCACTATTTAATCCCCATGATAACTCTGCACCGTATTACAAGAGGAGTGTTGGGACCAGATGAGCGGTTTGCAGCACAGTATTACAGATGATGGAAAAAATTAGAGCAGGTCTCTCTGATGAGCAGGAGAGGGTAGAGTCTCAGGATTAAACTGCAGCAGAGAGACTGTCTGCTCTCTGAGACCTTCACCGGATCAGCTATATTTAGTCTGCATGGGCCCAGCTTACTGTTCATCATTGATAGATGCTTCAGTTTAATAGATCATTCCAGATTCAGAGGTATTATGCTAATGCAGGACATCAGCGTGCCATGAATAATTGGTGCGCCTTTCAAATCATCCCAACAATGTTCCCCCTCAGGTTATCAGACATCATCCCTGTCTGATATTCTGCACAGGATAAAAAGGTTACGACTGAAAAATATAGTCAATAAAACAAAACTGCAAGAAGATTCCTTCTTCTGTCCTGTGACAATATCACTTTAAATACGATTTGTGTGTTCTAAGCTCTGTGCTGGGTGCTGTATGTCTTTTCAGCAGCATCGATCCATTCTCTATATCCATTAATTGAGATTATGAACCTAAGGCAAAAAGGCTGGGATACACTGTGGACATTTCGCCAGTCCATTACACAATGAACACACTGACTGACCAACAAAGAAACACAACTGCAGGCAATTTAGTGTCTCCAGATCCACTGACCTGCATGACTGTGAAAGGAAACCCGAGCAAACACAGGGGGAGGACATTAAAACTACACAGAGAGGACAAGGGCTGAGGTCTGTTTTCAGCTTGACCTACTGAACAACAATTCTGTCTCACAGGCAGCTGCTCTGTGAATACTCAGGGACCACAAGTGACCACATTACAAATCCAGGATTCATTTTGGAAGCTGACATGACCTTTAAACAATCAATCAAATTAGTAGCACCTGGGAACTATTTTTAAGATCAGTCTCAGTGTGATGCTTGCCAGTACAAAAAGATCAGAGCACCTCAGGTTTCACAAACCTCATGACTATGCTCTGAATTTACAAACCCAGCACAAAGCCACCAATCTCCCTCATGTCCCAAGAGCTTGCTCTAAACCTAGTGCGATTGCATTCAGTAAGTTATTTATAACTCACATTGAGTTAACTTACAATCAAGCTTTGGACATTTTTATTCGTATTCCAGTACGAATAAAAACAGTGAAGTTCAGTCGTATGCTCACTACTTTACAAACAAATCTTACATTTCAAATACTTCCGCCACTGCCGTCTAGAGTTTGCGCAGGCGCGCTGCAAATACGTGCATGAGGCGGTGGAGGCATGTGAGAAAAAATACAGTTTTCTTCAAGAATTGAACTAAGGTCACACGCGGTGAGTAAACAAATGGTCATTTTGAGGGTGAAGTATTCTGTGAATGTTTTTCTGTCTTTTTTGTTGTTACATAGCTCTTGTTTTTCTTCTCCTGCTGTAAATAATTACTGCTCATCTCTTTATTTTCTTTTTGTTCCATTGATATAACCTTGCTTTATATAAAGCACTTTGAACTGCATTTGTATCAAGAGGTGCAATGAACTTGTGATCAGTGATACTTTAAACAAACAAACAAACTAACTAAGAGTTCTTGTAGCCTACTGGCCAGTCTGCTTCAATGACAGGTGCATTTTGAAATGTGTGAAATTCATAAGCAATGTAAATACAAAGCTCATGGCACCAACGATGTTTGTAGAAATAAAAAATGCTGGATTCAGTCGCAGCATACACTGCTCTGTATGATGTATACTGATATAATGCAATAACATAGCATTAAAAACAGTGCCTGCTCTTTATCAGTATTTCCAGAAGCATATCTTTCCTCATATTAGAGATTAACTCTGACTGTGCTATTTTTTATCCTTTAGTGATAGTCATCCTGGCACTGCTGCTGCTCTTTGGAGGCATGTACAGCATCTATGTCTATGCGTATCAGCAGAAGGGCAGCTACCGCACCAACGAACCCAAGAACCTGGACTCCCCCAGCAGCTCCAGGCCCCTGACGGAGACCCTGAGGAGAGAAAAGAAGAACCTCCCGCAAATTGATGAGGAGTTCAGGAGCGACTAGCATCACAGGACCTTTGGGACAGTGGGTGGGGTTTGACTGGGGGATGGGGAGAGGGAAATAGCACTTAAAACAAACACAGATACCGGTATTAAGTTTTCTAATTCTTTCGTTCTCTTTTTTTACATCTTGGTTTGTGTTCGTTTCCTCGGGTTGAGTGGGATCAGATGCCTGGTGCTCTACATAGTATGTATTTTGGTAAGGCTTAAAAGTTCACGTCAAGCGCCATGTTGCGTGAGTAGCCAACAAGTCTCACACTGTGTTGCAGGGTGAGATACTGAAGTGCCTCATCTGAGCGAGCTTGACCTGAAGTAATATTATAGCTTATTCAGACAGGGTTTAGATAAGACACTGTGGGATCAGGATTTAAGGGGTGTTTAGTTATATTTGGAACATCAATTGATTATAATCTAACCCTTTTATTGATTGATTCTTTTTTTTTTCCTGAACCACTTTCAAGATCAATTAAAGCTAAAACATATCTTACTGTATAGATCTATTGCCATCTAAGATATACCTTTTGATGACAATCTCTCATGGAGCCATTTTTGACATCATAGCTTATGATCCGTCTTGGCATTTGAGCAGAAAAGCACATCAGTGCATAAAAAACAACAACAACTCAGATCACAGAAACAAAACTGGTGTTCCTGAATAAAAACATCCAACCGAAGAGAGAACGCACCGACGAGCATGGAGCTTTGATACGATGCATATATAGAGATTGTAAAAGGTATACACGCTTATAATTGTTGTAGTGCAGCCTATAACAGTGCATTACCTGTACAGAATGGCACATGTAAGTGGTTCAGAATTGCCATAGTGTCAGTAGATAGCAACTTTGCCGTTCACAGTATGCTCAGACTCCTAAACACATTCTCAGCTACGGGGCTTCGGAAATGAGAGTGCGATGATATGTAGATACTCCTCCTGGTGTTGAGAGCTAACAAACAAAAAATGAGGTGATGAAGCTCAGCAGGGACAGGGTGACCTACATACCCAAGTTCTCATTCCTTCCGTCTTACTTCTACTCGCTTATATTATGGTCAAGCTGCCAATAGCTCGGTGCTAAAGAGAGTTTGACTCACCATACCTGTCTAACAACAGTACAACAAAAAGGATCAGCCTTCTCACAATCCTTTCGATTCTTGATTATGAGCATCTTTCAGGAAACAGCTGCTCCCTGTGGCTATGTGGAGAAGCACATATAAACACACACACACACACTAACATATGAACAGAGGACCACAAGAGTGTAAATACTAATATTTTACTTCCAACTCATACTGCTCTAAAATGTTTGCATATTGCTGTAGGACAGTTAGCCGAGCACGGCGTCACCGCCGCTGCTGCTGCTGCTTGTTTAGCTGCTTTCGGTGGAAAGTCAAAAATTCTACCTGTATAGTCCAATGAAATCTTCTTCTCTGGTAAGATGAAATTTCGTTTGATGTGTGGTGCAACCAAAGCTTCAGGCTATATCATCACTCACCACAGCTCTCCTTGATACTGGAGCACTATTGCGTAGGCCTATGTGGGAAAAATAGTCAAACATTTGTAACATAGCTATGCATTAGTAGAGCATGACCGCACTTAACATGCAATAATATGAGCTTTTTTTCCAGCCACCAATGATGTTGATGTTTAATTTGCAGATGCACAATAGCAAGTAGGATGTAATGAGTGTATACGTGAATATACGAATAATGTGATTTTTTTTTTTTTTATTCCTGTGGTTTATACAAAACAAGTTGAAAGCAGTTAAATGGAGTGCTTTGAATGTAAATCCTCTGACTGTGTAATGTATGAGCGGACGCTACAGTGAAGACCTGCTCAGGTGTTTTCACTGTAGGCTGCTTAGCACTGAAAGTAAACTTATTCACGGTAGCTTTTTGGAATGCTCAGGATAAAGAAAGTACAGAACATGTTCTCTGTAGCACTAATACACCTCCAAAACTCCACATTGTTTTGTTTCTTCCATTACATATGGGCAGAACTGTGCACAATTGTACAGTGAAAGGATGTAAAAGACTGCAAATTACCGTAAAAGGCACTACTTCCTAACAATGTATGAAATTGTATAGATTCGGCCAAAACTGGCGTGTATACAGGCTATATTTTTAAGAAAGATTCAATGTGATGAATGATAATGAAAAGTGAGCAAACGGAGTGAAACTGTTGGTTTGTGATCGACACCAAGAATAGTTTGTGTTTTTTGTTAAATAGACAATCAACACTCAAAGGTCAACAAACTTGGGCCAAATATGCTTTGCTGTCTATTAGGAAAGAGTAAACTTATGTATCATGTAAATGTATACACCTCAATGTATTCAACCGGCTATATGAACATTCAGCCTAGCATCGTCACTTCATTGCCACTCACTAGTAAATCACACGTGGTCCCTGGAGCGTGTGTGTATGTGTGACTGACTAGATGTTTATATGTTTGTGTATTCATAGTTTGCCAACCGACGACTCTCTTTCGAAAAAACTATCGCGTGCACTGATGCCAACTGTCCAATTCACTTATAGTCGTGCACCGACCGTAGAGCAATGAGACAGAAAAGAGGTCTGCGTGTATAGCTCAAGAGTGGATTCTCCGTGTTCAGGCTTCAGTTGTTCAATTTCAAGCACGTTGAATCTGTGCTGATTGGGATCATATAGGGCGGGAATAAAAGGGATTAAGGTAAAAATGGCCAGTAGAGGGAGTAGGCCAGAAGGATGTTGTTAGCTCAGACAGGCTTTCTGCTGATTTCACCAAATCTATACCTTTTTTCGGGGCTGCTTAATGCTTCCTGGAGTTTAATCAAAGTTTAAAAACACATTTAAAGGGGTATAAAGTTAAATTGGGGCTATGAGAAAGTCATGATTTGAGTCTTAACTTTATTTAAAGTATAGAGATTACAATACTTAAGGTCTTAATACTTACTACAGACTCATATGAATCTGCAGAATCTGTGATATCATATATAATCCCACGATAAAGCACCAGAGTGATTAGTAAGCAGGTCAGACCGCTTCTCTGCACCGTCAAACCAAATCCTTCTGCAACAGGGACCAGAAATGATCATTACAGTTGTGCTTGTGATCACACTGAAATTTTATTTCTGTTCTTATGTCTGCTTGATTTCTTTTGTAATACTTTCACTGTAAATGACCATTACTGTGTAAATCAAAGGCAAAGCCAAACCCAATAAAAGAAGCTTGAAGGAAATTGTCTATGTTTTTTTTTTTTTTTTTTTTTGCACAGACAAACTCATGGACTAGAACAGCATGTTTTAATGTATAAAGTTAAACTTTCATTTTTATAGGCAGACACTGTACATAGCAGTAAACTCCTCATTTTGTTCATCCCTTTTGAGAAAGATCTCATTTAAGAGTGGGCTTTGATGTTTTACAAATGAAAAACAGGGTGGACATATAAAACAAATAAGGAAGATGATAAAAATATATTTTACATTCACATGTGGGGGGACTTTAATATTTGGTCAAACACTGATAATTTTGCTTTTCCCAGGGTCACAACCTTGCAAAGGTTACCTTTAACACACTGTTAATTATGCAACACATCCTCACTGTTTCAGCCTTTTGTGGACTCATTTGGCACTTGTATGACTTTTTAAACGACGACATTTACCGTGCGACTTGTTAATGTTTTAATGATTTCCTTCACAAAACATGAAGTCCTCAAGATCAATGTAACTGTGATGATAAATGTTTGATGTGCGTGCACATCTGTCAGAGTACCAATAGAACGAGTTAATGCGTAAAAAAAATGAAAAGAGGGATGAGATCTCTTCGCCATCATCACCACAGGTTACATTCAGTCAGTCGGTTTCTTGTCTGGTTGCCTATTTTTTGCAGAACAATGATATAAATGCACAATAACTTATATCTCACCATCAAGATGTGGCGGTGATACTTTGCCGCTAGAAAAAGCTCCCAGAAGAACATACAAAGCTGTTGAACCTGGTGGAGATCTCCTGAGGAACAGGTGGCGGGTAACATCACACTACAATACTAAGAGACCGCACGGAGCAGAATCTGACTGGAGCTAATGCTGTGGGCTAACATCGTATATTGGTTTCTGCTTATCCAAGACACAGCACATGCATTTCACTTGATCATCATTAGGTACGATGTAAAAGCTTGCGTTACGTATTGAGAGGTCAAAGAAAAAGCCGGTCTATAAGTACAGTAACAAAACTGCTTAGAGAGTAACACACTGTATGATGGGTAATCACAACCTCTTTGCTTTTAACAAGATGAAACAAAGAAAAACACAAAAAAACATGTGATCCTCTTGCTGCGGTAAGCGATACAGATTAATAGTATTTCCACTTTAAATAGTTTAGTTTCATAAGCTTGGCGTATACACTCTTGCAGGTAGGTGGGGCGGGGTTTGGGGCAGATGAGAGGGGAGAGCTGACTGCTGTCACTGAAGGAGGTGGCATGGTGGGGGGGGGGGGGGACTCTCTATTTTTAGAAGTGCAGCAGAGAGGGCAGAGACAGCGACTGTTCATTGAAACTCGTCAGCTAGATGTGGCGCTACGGAGAGGGAAAGAAGCATCAGTGGGCGGCTGAAGGGTTGAGGGAACGGTTACGGAGGTAGGCAGCAGGTGTAGCTACGCCATGTCGGCCTCCCTTTCTATTCCCACATATTTGAGGGCATCCGCTTGGCTGTATCTGTGGAAGATGAAAAGTCAGAGTTAGTATACAGGAACTACGGATACTGGTAGATTAGTTTACCACAATGTACCGCACGGCCTGGTCTTTATTTTACTTCGAACCTGCTGGAGTCACTAAAAGGCCTGTGACTCTACCTGTAGTCAAAGAAGAGCTCCTCTCCTTGCAGGATAGCTCGTTTGGCAAAGATACCAATGCGGTGGTCTCCATTTACCATTACCACTGCAATGGTAACAAACACAGCATTAGCCAACGAAAGACATGCTTTCATCCCACAAAAGTAATCTAAACTCACGTTTGACTCCGTAGTAAAACAAACTGATTCAGTCTTACCTTTTGCGTAGCAGTTTGGGTTAACTGAATGATTTGCAAAGCGAATTTTGTTTCCCTTACGCGTGGCATCCACGACAAAGTCTACCGAGAGACATGGAGCACATTGGGGAATATGTCAAATAACATATAGCATGGTGTGGTTATGAGCAGTGGAGGAAGAGGGAATACTTGCCATTGTTCAAGTTGAACAGGAAGCTGGACATGTATTTGTCATAGATCCTTCCGCGTCGGTCCGCCTCATCCTGGGAGATCAGCTGCTCGCTCGTGCGCACACACACACACACACACACACACACACACACACACACACACACAGGAATAATAAACACTGCAAGTACAAAACTTCAATCAAGCCTAAACTATATATAGATTTTCTAATCTGACGAAACTGCATGGACTTGCCTCTCCGCAGTATTCAGAGATGAACTCGTTCTTTTGAACCGGCTCTTTGATGAAGGTGCCCCATCCGGCGACATCTGATGGAGCCAAAAGCAGGTGCTGAGAGAAGTCACAAGTAGGTTAGGACTCCACAAGTCATATAAATCTACACTAACGTCTCTGCAGAATAACAAAGCATCAGGTTTGAAACATGTAACCATTTAGACCCTCGAGCGTCCTTGTGTACCTTTTTCAGGCCTCTCTGGATGCTGCAGTTCTTGCAGGAGATGGCTTTGCTGTCCCAGTGATCTGCAGTGCCGCAGGTCATGCACAGGTCTGGGTCACACTCCCTCACGGCCAGGTAGCACGGACACTGTTTAGTGTTGCACTGCGTCTTACACCGGCAGCCTGGGAAGCGGTTCTGGCCTGGAAAAACATTAGGACACGCAGCTGCTCTGAAAGAATATACATGATATGACTTGGCAGAACACACAATATGATTATGATGAATAATTCCACGCCATAATGCAGTTGCAGCACAGACACTCAACGGCCGAGTGAAGCTGAGAAGCCCATCGCTCAGAGACCTCTGCTGGCAGATATGCTGAAATACAGTTCTGCAGAGGAAACACAACACCCTCCGGGCAGATGAGTGGAAGGATCAGGCAAGAATAACCGACGTCTTTGCAGCAGTCTCCGCTTGGGGAAAACTGTCGGTACGCATTTGCCGTTTCAACCTGCGAATCCCCGGCCAGTGCGGGTTTTATGTGACTGCATCATCAAGCGTTGTTTAGCTGGAGCTGCCTGACTCATACCGACGTTGGAGATGATGCTGTATATCACGCACAGAGCCTGTCACATCCCTTTGATTTCTCTCCAAGTCTCCAGAGCACACACATGTGCAACCGGGGGCTGCTTCCTGTTTGGCCCCGGCTCTCCTCTGCTACGGGAAAAGGCGAGGTAACAGTCGGGCAGGGAGGAGGAGGGAGAGGAGGGAGAGGAGGGAGGGGAGGGGAGGTGACCGAGCCACAACGGATGAACAAATGAGGCGAAGCCATCTTTTTCCAAACCGTTGCGAGATATTTCCGTCGTACGTCTTATCCCCGTCCTCTGTTGTAAAACTCTCCAGAGGGCAAAATAGAAAAATGCATTCCTCCACCATGTGGCCATTTCGGAAAAACACCGTTCTAGGTCATTGCTGCTGCAGCGAATGCCTCATTGTGAACACAGCCCTGCATTAAACAGACACCCACCTATCCCCGGCCAGAGGACAGTTTCTCCTCTGGCCACTGCCAGAATACTGCAGAGTCGTTTTACATTCTGCTGCCGTGCTCTATTGTGGCCTGGGAAAAAAAAAAAAAGCTTTCAGTGGAAAATGTGGTTATGACAAACAATTTCCCTTCAACATTACAAGGGAGAGAGAGACAGCTATACTTCTGTCTTGTTGCTTTGTGGAAGAAAGAAGAAGCATCGAGTACACGGGAGAATGGTCGCAATTGGTGAATAAGAAAAAGGTGACACTCACACTCGTGCTCGCACTGGCAGAACTTCTCACAGAAATTCTGGGTCATCACACACGGGCAGGAGCTGTCGCACGGATGGTCGGGGTGATCACATGGCTGGTATTTGTACACCTGATTGGACGAGTTATCTGGAGCAACAGAGGACAAAGCCCTCAGACTGGCACAGTGAACTGCGTCATATTTCAGAATGCATAGTGTAGTAATAGTTGTGCTGTGGCGGTTCTTTCTTTCCCAGGTGAACATACCTTTCTTGAGCTGAATCTTTGCCCATAACCTGCCACATCAAACAAACACAAAGACACAAAGGGTCAAAACTCCTCCAACTTGTTCCACACCTCTTCAGTTCACTTTTCAGCAACAGGAATTGAAATTTGAAAACTAAATGCAGTGTAAATACTGATGCAACAGTGCAGAATACATGTAATTCTGCATGATTTTAATCATTTATTATCTATTCAGAGAGCTTTCACTGAGGGCCAAGCTCCCTTTTGCGAGAGATCACGTTATCTTAATGTTTCCATCATTTAGCAAAGGGTGGGCAAGCGAGGGAGAGCAACAGGAGATATCTTGCCTGTGTTTCCGCTTCTTCTTTTGGGGCGCGACGCCTCCGTCGACTAAAGGAACACGATGGATGAGGACTTCCTTCAATGCAAACTCATACACCTGTGGAAAGTGACAATGACATAAACAACAACAACATATCCTGCTAATTAATTGCACATGTACACTACTGTGAAGAAATTCTGTTTTTTCTTCATTGTAATTACATCGTGTCATGTTCTGCCCCATCAAGCGGAAAAGAACATCCGTCCCCCTCCATCCTACGTTATCAAAACTCCACTGCAGCGCACACACACACACACACACACACACACACACACACACACACACACACACACTCAACCACTTCTGGCGGCCAAAACCCAGATTTGGCTTCTTCCCTAGGACACAGACATACATAATGATGCAGCTGGTTTCAGCCTTTCCACTCAGCTAAGCAGTGGGCGGGGTCCTCTGGATACCGGCAGGGGCTGTGACAGTTCAATGCTGGACTGGTCTGGACATGTGACAAGAGGCGCTAAAGAAGGGCGGACGTAAACAGACAAGGCTGCTTCAACATGTCTTACTTTTAATCAATTCTTTACTGCGTGTGTTGTGCTCAAAAGTAAAAAGTTTTGAAACTTAGATGTTGTAATATGTTTCTCCACAAGCCTCGTTACGCACATACCCACATGACACTCATTTTGACTCAAGTCTGGGAATGTCTAAGGCTGACCGACTGCATCGTGAGAGAATTTGGGAGACGTCACATCTGGTAAGCATCCGTGTTTATGGTGCCACATGCCATTCTCTCCGTAGTCAGCCCAATTATCCGCACCACAAAACCACAGGCACAGGATACATTAGCTATTATACTCGCACTGGCCCAAACACGACAGAAATCAGCGACGCAAGTATGCTGTCTATACTTCAGTTATGCAATAGTTACAGAAAGTATTTGTTTGTTCATTATTTAACATTTAAACGACAATTCATGACTTATATAGCTAGGAAACAGATGAGCCGGCTAACAACGCACAATTGCTATTGGCAATTGATATGCAGATGGACATTTGGTGGTAAAGTATCCCTTTAAGTGTGTGAACAATTTTACCTCCTTGCAGTTTTTCGTGCCGATGAGGCGAGCGATGGAGCAGAAGTTGTTGAAGTATGTGCCGTGTAGCACTCTGAACAGTGACTCCTCCGCCCCGCTCCACTGGACCGCACAGCCTGCCTGCTGCTCCCCGTCACCATCCCCTGGACGTGGCTTGGTGGGAGTCTGGCATCGCGAATTCTCCTCTGTTACGCACACAGGAAAAAAGCTGTAGTATCACTACTCTTCGCAACAAGTTCACTTCATAAAACTCTTTTCTATTATTTTGTCTTGGTTAAAGGTTTTTGACAGCTTTTTGTTTTTTTACCTGCCCACACACACACAGAGTCAGGCTAATACAACCCTCCACTGACACACATACAGCTATTTCTGGGTGCCATCTTTGTGTATCTGCACGTGTGCACACACAGCCACACACACACACACACAGCCACACACACACACACACACACAGCCACACCCACACACAGCGCCACACACAGCGTCACACACACACACACACACACACACACACACACACACACACAC